TCAAATGTTTATATGCATTCATGTTAGTATTTTATCATCTTTGCATCAAATTACAAAACGAATGCGTGCTTGTGTGAGGTGTTTATAACGCAGCGTCTGTGGAGGCGGGACAGTAAATCTGACATGATTCTCTCTTCTGGCTGCCGTTATCAGTCTCACACTATTGTTTTCCTTTTTCTGAAAGTCTTGATAACACCATCCTGTTATTTTCTTTGATTATTTCAGGAAATAGAATTCTAATAAAATGATTTATTGTACTCTCCCATTCACTGTGCTCTAAGTTTATCAACTATGACCACTTCTGCTGCTGAGAAACACACAAATGTGTAAAGGTTACATGAAGAAAAGAGTGCTTTCTTTAATAACAGCGGTCAGTCAACGCTCGCTAATTTTTTAGGGTATTTGTTAGTGCAATGTAAATGCAGACATCAGTCACTAGAAGTTGTAAGCAGTTGTAACACACAAATACATTGGACATGGTCACAATTATCAGAATCTTTGCATGCGTGTCTCACATTTGTCGCATTCCTTTTCATCTGAGCCGTCGCTGCATTGTTTCTCTTTGTCGCACACCAGATCTTTCCCGATGCAGCATTTATTATCACATGTGAAATGCTCAGGACTGCAGGGCCTGTCACACTGCTCAACTGTGTGTGTGTTTTACAGACAAGAAAAAACACTTGAGAAATGTTCACGTGGCAATCAAAAAACAAAATGGTATTCTGGTCAAAAATATAAGGCTTACCAGCGTCAATGGGACCTATTCTTCCAGATGGATGAGGAGCAGGAGAACCAATATTAGAAACTGCAATAACAAAATATTTCATGTTAACGATAAACCATTTTGAGAGAAATTAAAAAAAAATAACAAATAAGCCTTCCATTTAATAGATGCACTCTCCTTCCCTTTTTAATTAAAGGTGCAGTAGGTGATTGTCTTCAGAAGCATGTGTTGTTGTGCTGTTTGAAAGTCTCTTCACAGTCTAATAATAATGATTAAAGTAAATGATCTAAATGTGTTTATATGTATTTTTATATTTTGGATGAGCCATAAAACTAAAAAATGTTCATCCAATTAAATGGAGTCGGACCCACATCTCTCATAATTCTGATAAGTAGCTCAGACTGTCCGTCAGCAAATGCAGATTTGAACAACTGCGCAGACTTTTGTACGTATCTCCGCCGACCGCTGTTGGTGCCACTAGTTCACGAGAGAGGGCGCTGGCGTGCAAATGGTGAAAACTTGCTTTATTAAAACTTTTTAAACCTGAATCAATATTAGAGTTACCTTTGCACGATGGAGAAAGGATGACACAATGGCTGAATGATTTCTCTCAGACAGGTCATGTTCTGTTTTAAAACTATTTTAACTTCATGCAAAGCTGATGTAATGTTAGATGTTGTTGTTACAAATGGGTAGTATCTTGTTGTTCAGCCATTAAAACCTTTAGATGAAAGATTGATAAGACTATTTTCAGTTTCATAAGGGACCTTTTACAGCATCTATAATGTAGATTTTAATTAGTTTAACAACAAAACACAAGTAAATAGGACTATTCCGCCTAGTCTCTCCCTATATTGTTTACCATGCAACTCTAAATATTGACTCTGAAATAGCATGTCAGTTTGGCTTTCACGCCGCCTGACAAGCACTAGTCGCTTTTAACACATGAGAGAGGGTTCTTTTGCTGTGCTGCTGTTAGGAGGCGTGGCTCTAGATGGCAGTGGAGGGACTGTTATTCAGAGATTTACGCTAAGCTGTTAGCATTGTGAAAGATCACCTACTGCACCTTTAATTTATTTCGTAGTAATTTAATTTGTTTGTTTTATCTAATACTATTTTATACTGTTTAACTGTAAATATTTCCTTTTAACATTGACAATGTGTCTGAACATTTGATTGTGATAGTGGGTTGTAATTTTATGTACTTGTTACTCTTGTTTCCATTTTTTTCCTCTTTTATTATTATTATTTTTTTCTCTTTTTTATTATACATACATACAGTTGAAGTCAGAATTATTAGCCCCGTTTATTTTTTTTTCCCAATTTCTGTCCAACGTAGAGCAGATTTTTTTCAACACATTTCTAAACATAATAGTTTTATTAAATCTTTTCTAATAACTGATTTATTTTATCTTTGCCATGATGACAGTAAATAATATTTGACTAGATATTGTTCAAGACACTTCTATACAGCTTAAAGTGACATTTAAAGGCTTAACTAGGTTAATTAGGTTAACTAGGCAGGTTAGGGTAATTAGGCAAGTTATTGTATAATGATGATTTGTTCTGTAGACTATGGAAAAAATATTGCTTAAAGGGGCTAATAATAATGTCCCTAAAATGGCTTTTAAAAAACTAAAAACTGCTTTTATTCTAGCCGAAATAAAACAAATAAGACTTTCTCCAGAAGAAAAAATAATATCAGACATACTGTGAAAATGTCCTTGCTCTGTTAAACATCATTTGGGAAATATTTTAAAAAGAAAAAAAATCAAAGGGAGGCGAATAATTCTGATATATATTTAATTTTTTTTTTCCTCTTTCGTAAAAAAAAAAAAAAAAAAAAAAAAACAACAACAACAAACAATAATATATAACTATTTGTACTGATTTAGTGTTTATTTTTTCACAATAAACAATTTTAACATAAAAATGAACAAATAAAAATCCTATTTGCAGTGTTGATCACACTTTACAATATCAATATCTCATTAGTTAATGTATTTACTATTATGAACTAATTATGAACCAAACTTGTATTGCATTTATTAATCATAATTCAATGTTTACTAATGCAATATTAAACTCCTTGTTATTATTATTTAAGGTGATTGTGAGTTAACATGAACGACTGTATTTCTGTTAACTAACATGAACAAGTATTGTCGCGAATGAATTGTCCATTGCTTTTTTATGCTATTAAATGGATTAACTAATACAACCTGTGTGCAAAGTGTGACCAAAATTATTGTGGCATTGCATTAGCAACAAATGAAAACCTGAATACTAGTATCTTGAAGAATATCCAGCCAAATATTATGTGCTGTCATCATGGCAAAGATTAAAGAAATTAGAGATGAGTTATTAAAACTGTTAAGATTAGAAATGTGCTGAAAAAATCTTTTTGTTAAACAGAAATTGGGGAAAACATTTACAGGGGGGTTAATAATTCAGGAGGGCTAATAATTCTGACTTCAACTGTGTGTACATTTTTATTTATTTACATTTTCTGCACAGTCAAAATTAGGATTCGTCTGTTCAAATGAAGTGGCATCCCTCTATTAAATCAATACCTGAGACTTTGTTGCAGGCGCTCTGGCATTCGTTGAGCGCCAGATAGTTATTACGGTTTGGCACGCAGCCTCCAAACTTGAACTCTTCGCATTTCTCTGTGGCGGCGTTATAATGCCAGCGTGGGAAAGAGCCTCGGCATGGACCCTCCTTCTTCGGCACCAGACAGTGATCTGACCAGAGGAAAAACAGGCTTTCATTAGTTTCTTTATTTATTCTATTATGCATTTATTTATTTAATTAATAATTTAATTCATTCATTCGTTCACTCATTCATTCTATCATGCATTCGTTCATTCTATCATGTATTGATTCATACATTCCATTCATTCGATCATGCATTCATTCATTCAATCAAGCATTCATTCATTCATGCATTCATTCATTCTATCATGTATTCATTCGTTCATTCTATCATGCATTCATTCATTCAATCATGCATTTATTCATTCATTCTTTGTATCATGCATTCACTCCATTCATTCTATCATGCATTCATTCCTTTATTTTATCATTCATTCCATTCCTTCAATCGTTCATTCTATCATGCATTCCTTTCTTTAAATTGTTTTAATGCATTAATTCATTAATGTTATTCTTTCATTTATTAATTCTATCATGCATTCATTCATTCATTCCATTCGTTCATTCATTCTATCATCCATTCATTCATTCATTATATCATGCATTTGTTCATTCTATCATGCATTGATTCATTCTATCATGCATTCATTCACTCTATCATTCTATTCAATTATTTATGCATTGTAAAATGCATTCACTCCATTCATTCCATCACGCATTCATTTAATCATGCGTTCATTCCTTCGTTGCATTATTCATTCCATTCCCTCAATCATTAATTCTATCAGGCATTCATTTCTTTTATCATGCATTAAATCATTAATATTATTCTTTTACTCAATCATGTATTCATTCATTCCATTCTTTCATTCATTCATTCTATCATGTATTCATTCATTCATTCCATTCTTTCATTCATTCATTCTATCATGCATTCACTCCACTCTTTCATTCATTCATTCCATCATGCATTCATTCATTCATTCTATCATGCATTTGTTCATTCTATCATGCATTCATTCATTCATTCTATCATGCATTTGTTCATTCTATCATGCATTCATTCATTCCATCATGCATTCATTCATTCATTATATCATGCATTTGTTCATTCGATCATGCATTCATTCATTCTTTCATGCATTCGTTCATTCACTCTATCATGCATTCATTCATTCATGCATTATATCATGCATTCACTTAATCACGCATTCATTTAATCATGCGTTCATTCCTTTGTTTCATCATTCATTTCATTCCTTCAATCATTAATTCTATCTTGCATTCATTTCTTTCTTCATGCATCCATTCATTCATTCGTGTTATATTTTAATTTATTCATTATATAATGTATTCACTCGTTCTATCATGTATTCATTCATTCCATTCTTTCATTCTTTCTATCATTCATTCATTCATTCCATTCTTTCATTTATTTATTTATTCTATCATGCATTTATTTATTTATGCATTCATTCTCTTTTGTAAACAAATGCTCTGCATGCTGGCAGTTTACAGAACATGAACAGAAATACAGTGAGATTCATTTCTTAAGGCCTCATCAATATCATACAAATTTATCTTGCATTACAGTATGCAGCCACTTAAAATGTCAATTACTGTAACCATATGTTATTCGTCCAAAATATTCGACATCATATTTAAAACAAGTATAATCCGATGCAAAATATTAAATAAATAAATAAATAAAATAAAAAAATAAAAAAAATCACAGCTTTAACAGCTAAATTCTCAAATAATGTCATGTGAAATACACTTTTTAACCACTAGGTTTTGTCTATTTGATGACTGATTTTCTTAATTACAAACACATTCACATTTAGTACATGAAGGATGAAACTTGCAAAAACTATAAATAAATACACAAATAGATAAATAAATGAGTAAATAAATCAATAAAAAAGTGGACAAACAAAACAATAAATAAATGAATAATATTAGTATTGGATATTAGTAATGAATAGTATTATTTATTTGCATATTTATTTATTGTTTTATTTAAGCAGGAATTTATGGATTTATTAACTTAGTTGTTTATTTGTTTGCGTATTTATTTATTTATTATTATTATTATTAATTTATTTATTTATAGTTTTTGCAGGTTTCATCCTCCATATTAGTATGCTCACATATTTACTGAAAACATTACAGACTCAAATAAGTGTTTTATTTTATTATGCTGAATGAAGATGGAATATTATTGTACCTTTATTTTGACTATTATCAAAAAAGAAAAAATATATATCAAAGCAGACACATTCAAAACTCTTTTTATAGATGATTTGTTTTTGTAAATTGAATTTCTGTGGTGTAGACACTAAACATATGAGGTCGCCTATATATATATATATATATATATATATATACACACACAGTATATATAAAGAGAGACAACACAATAAACATACTACCTAAGTGAAAACAGAAATATACCTATTAATATAGATACAAACATTAAGTTATTTATAATAGGTCTGTAACAATTATTTAAAGCTGTCTAATTGCCATTATTTAATTTAACCTCCTTTTTTGGATGACTGTGATTGCTGCAACTCCTTTTATAGCCACAAGAGGGCATAAAGCAAAACAGTCAGATTAGTAAAATAAAGTACATGTTCAGTCATGTGTGGTATTAGTGAATGTATTTTACAGTGCCGAGTGAACACATGAACTATGTGAAATATGTGTGTTTATTAAAACAGAAACCTGAAACTAACACTTACATTGCATAACTCTCAGAATGAAAACTATGACAATTGAATACCGGTTCACTTCTATGAAACAAGATTTACCTGGTGATTAACATTTTGTTTGTAAGGTTGTAAAAATAACAAAAAAAAATACAAAAAATAAATAAATAAATAAAACCACTGTCAGGTTGTAAAAAATAAAAACTAAAATTGCAAAAAATAAATAAATAACAATAATAATCAAAATAAAAATTACATACAATTAAATTTACACAGTAGGTTACATTTAGAACACTAAAATATGTTACATATAAAATATATATATTTTAGTTTTTTATTTAAATTTAATTTAACTTGATACACTAATAAAAACATTAAAACTCCAGACATCTTTTTATTTATTTAATTTGAACTTGAAAAATTAATTTAAAAAAATACATAAAATTACTAAAACTTCCTATTTATATATTTATCAAAACTAAAAGCCAAATAATTATAATAATAAATAATTCAAATGATTTAAATATCTATCTATCTATCTATCTATCTATCTATCTATCTATCTATCTATCTATCTATCTATCTATCTATCTATCTATCTATCTATCTATACACACACACACACACACACACACACACACACACACACACACACACACACACACACACACACACACACACACACACACACACACACACACACACACACACACAAATAAAAAAATATTAAATAGTTACATATTTCATTTTTCAATTTAAATTTAACTTGACGCAATAATAAAAACATTAAAACTACAAATTTCTTAATTTAATTTGAACTTAATTTAATCATAAAAATACATAAAATTGCTAAAACCTTCTTTTTATTTATCAAAACTAAAGCCAAATAATAATAGTAGTAATAATAATTAATTAAATTATTTAAAAAAAGAAAAAATATAAAATGACAAGAAAAAAAATACATAAGAAAATAAACATTACATGAAAAGTTTCTATATTCTACGTAAATTTCATATAACTTGAACTAATAAAAAAATTAATACTACAGACACATTTTTCAATTTTATTTAATTTGAACTGTTTTAGTAATTTTATGAATACATAAAATAAAATAACTAAAAGCTAAATAATAATAATAATTATTATTATTAATTCAAATTATTTAACATAACATAACATAACACACACACATATACATACATATACATACATATACATGCATGCATGCATGCATGCATGCATACATACATACATACATACATACATACATACATACATACATACATACATACATACATACATACATACATACATACATACATACATACATACATACATACATACATACATACATACATATATATATACACACATACATGCATGCATACATGCATACATGCATACATACATACATACATATATATACACACATACATGCGTACATACATGCATACGTACATACATACATACATATACATATATATATATATATATATATATATATATATATATATATATACATATATATATATATATATATATATATATATATATATATATATATATATATATATATATATATATATATATATATATATATATATATATATATATATATATATATATATATATATATATATATATATATATATATATATATATATAT